TCCTGTTTCACTTTGGCTGAGCCAAATTCAAAAGAAAATAGGCCAGTTATGTGACAAAATGGGTAAAATCGTGTGTACTTTGCCAATTTTCTTAAGTATAAAGATGTTTTCTTTGACTTTTTGTRTTTGAAGGACAGGAACGTCACAGGCACTTTAAGTCCGTTTGTGGAGATCTGCGTTAATCTGAAGCTCAATCCAGAGATGAGGAGCTGCAGCCACAACGACTCTGTCACCCACAGATTTAAGCCTTGTCCTGGGCAGAACCAGACGATGCTRCTGACCGGACCTGGGTAGATGTTTGAGGTGTGAGCAGCTCCGTGAGGTGAGCGGGGGGCCGTACCGTACAGACAGTGATGGGTGTGCAGGAGAATCCTGTTTTCGGAAGTGAAGAGGAAGCCAGTTATTGTTATTAGTTCACCTGCAGATTGCAGCCAGCCTACATGATTTTTGAGTGTTTTGTTTACATTATGTGCAAACCAGCATTTCTGGTGTAAACTGTTTGAAACAGCTCAGGACTGTTTCATATTTGATTTCACACTTTGCAGTTTAACGATCCCATCGCTTTCAGCTCAGACTTCCATGATCTCTGAAGGTTTTCCATGAAGGTAAATAAAACACTGCAGCGTCGGCTACAGTCAGAATCAATATCAGCACCAGTCTGGCACATGAAATAAAAACCTGCAGGTAATTATAAAGTTTAAAAATCGTTGCAGAGAAAAGTTTCACTTGAGCCTCCAGAGAGATCAATATGAGCCTCGTGAATCAGACTTGAATTATTAAAGTACGACAGAGCAGCAGACATGTTGGAAAAGTCATTTCACCACTTTTTCTCCTGTTTTTTTTTTTTCAGTTTTCAGCTACAGTTTCTGCAGCTTTAAGTTTKAAGTTGAATCCTTCATTGTTCTTCCACAGAGGTTTAATTTAGTAAAATGTTATTAATATTTGAGAGAGAAGAAGTGCATTTAATTCTGTTTCAATAACTCCTTTATTGTTCAAGTAAATTTTCAGTCATTAATGTAAACTTTAAATCAAAGCCGCTGGAGTTTTTTTCTCCCCTTTCAAAAACTTTCTCAGTTCAGACTAAAAGTTTTAGTTGAAATTTGATCCTGCATCAGATGCTCCGTTTGTAAAAACACTAAATTCACTTTACTGTTGAGCTTATGGTTTTAAGGCTGGTGGGCAAATAAGCAGAAATACTGAAAACTTTAATACAACAAAACTTAAACATTTGCTTGAAAAATAAAAGCTGTAAATTTAATTAGTAAAACTTTTGATGAAGCAGCTTTCAGCAGCTGAAAAACAAACAGTTAGTTCCATCCTCAGAGCCTGAAGGCAAATCATTTAATAATAGAGACGAACAAAGAAACGTTGTTTTGTCTTTACAAAAAAAAAAAAAAAAGAAAATGCAGTTTTTTATATATAATTGTAATAAAGAACTTGGCAGGATGTGAATCAACCAGGTAATTATTGTTTCCCCACAAGAGGAAATATGGAAACTAGTTTTTTAATCATCAGCCTCTAATGAGGATTTCTGCAACAAAACGCCTCACAACGAAAAACAACAAAAAACAAATTCTGGTTAAAACCAGAAACTGGACTAATTGTGTGAAGTTTGACTCTGTCCTCTCAGAACCTGCAGGACGTCTGGAGGATCCGGAGAGGTTTGCTTCAAACAGCYGCTGATTGTTGTCTCTTGTGTGGATTGTGTAAATTCAGACGAGGCTGCGCTCGTGAACACGAGTGTCTGACTTGTTTCTAAGCAACAGACGACCTGTGAGCTCGCTGACAGATGGTCGGTGAAGTTATTTTAGTTTCGAKGAGAAATGGGGGGCTGTTCTGGGGGGATCAGATGCCTTCACTTAGGAAGAGTGGTGCGTTCAAGACATTAACTCATTAAAACATCTCAGCTGTCTGCTGGAGCCACGTTTAGTTCATCAATTCTTCTTTTAAACTGGAAACAAACTATTTCTAAATCAATTTGCCTTCAATGGTAAATACAGCAGGTAAAATAAGTATTGAACACGTCAACATTTTTCTCAGTAAATATATTACTTGAGGTGCTAATGACATGAAATTTTCATCAGATGTCGGTAACAACCCA